GGCTTTAGTTTGGTGATCACTATTTTCTTCCTCCGTTAGCAAGTTTCAACAAAAAGAAGAGGAAGCGTGATGCTCTTAGATAGTGATGAAAGTGAAAAATAAGGCAATGATAGAAGAAACTTTTGACTTAAATATTTGAGCTTAGCCTCTTGATAGTGAGTTGGAAACACTATAACTGTGAAGAGTGCTGAAAATTCAATATTAACGTAACACCATTCAATTTAACATCACTTCAACTTACACATAAATTCTTTTATTTACAATTTTTTCACAAATTATGAACAATTTGTAGCCACAACACCCAAAGAAGACGACAAAGAGCACACATTGCTTAGGTTTATAAATAAGATACAAAGACATAACTCATTTCCTTAAATCAACTTGGTCAAGGATCAAATTCATCAGGACCATGAACATTTTAGAAAGATCATATGAATTATATTATTTGTGTAAACTATTTGTCACGCTGCTGCTGTTTATATCTGATCCATGGCCAAGTTCAGAACCTGAAATGTGGCAAGGACTCAGCGCGATTGCTTGAACCTAGGGTCGGTTCTGGCTGCGGACAGATCGGGTAATAATGGGACAGCATGACAAGTCCCTTGGCACAATCTATGTCTGTTAGGTAATCAGGGTTCAGACCATTCCAGAGCAACTCATACAGCAAATAGCCCACATTCATTACTTGCATTGAATATTCCAGCGTTATGTCATGTGAAAAAACTAAAAAATAAATTTGTGTGAAAACTAAAAATAAAAGCTTAACGTATATTTAAAAACTACTCATTAAGAATTATATAAAAACCTTAGGTTTACATACAACTAACTAGGGGTTAAATTAGGAAACTAAATCTTCTTAAAAACTGATCCTTTAATTGAGCGATTATCTATCCTAATTTTTTATCCTTAATTCTAGAGATACAAATATAAATATATATAGATTACAAGATTACAATCAGTTATAAAATAAGTATTTTCCCATACTCCCCCTCAAGCTGATGAATAGATGTTTTTCATTCCTAGCTTGAAAATAATTTCTTGAAGTGTTGCACTGCTGAGACCTTTAGTCAATACATCTGCAAGTTGACCCTTGGTTGATACATAAGATGTACAAATCAACCCACTATCTAGTTTCTCTTTTATAAAATGCCGGTCTATTTCAATGTGTTTTGTTCTGTCGTGTTGCACAGGATTATGTGCAATGCTTATTGTAGACTTGTTATCAAGTAGAGTCTCATCGGTCCATCCCACTTGATCTTCAAGTCTTTTAGGATAATCTTTAACTATAGTAGTTCACAAATTCCTTGAGCCATTACTCTGAACTCTGCTTCAACACTTGATCTTGCCACCACATTCTATTTTTTACTCCTTCAAGATTATCACCTAAGAAAGTGCAATAGCCTGAGGTGGATCTTCTATCAATTACTAAACCTGCATAATCAGCATCTGTATATGCTTCTAGAACTAGCCCCAAATTTCTTTTGAATAAGATACCTCTCTCAAGATTGGCCTTCAAATAGTGCAATATATGGTAGATAGCCTATAAGTGCACTTCTTTAGGACTATGCATAAATTGTCTTACCACACTCACAGCATATGCTATATCAGGTTTAGTATGTGAGAGATAAATGAGTCTTCCAACTAATCTTTAGTACATCCTCTATCTACAGTAGCATTTTCATTAGCTTCTCTAATTTTATGATTAGGATCTATAAGGTTATTTGCAAGTTTACATGTGAGCTTCCTAAGTTTCTTTAGAAGATCCATTACGTATTTCTGTTGTGAGATGAAAATACCATGTCGTGAGTGAGGTACTTCAATTCCTAGGAAGTACTTCAATCTTTCTAGCTCTTTTATCTCAAATTCTCTAGCCAAACACTATTTTAGAGATTTTCTCTATTTTTCATCATCTCTAGTTATAATTATATCATCAATATATACTAATAGAACTATGACTCTCTCTAAATCAAAATGTTTGATAAATAATGTATGATCTCTTTGACTTTGTTTATATTCCATTGCTAGCATCACTTTGGCAAATTTCTCGAACCAAGCCTTAGGAGACTATTTAAGGCCATATAAAGCCTTTTTTTCAGCTTGTATATTTTGTTTGCTTCTAGATGACCTCCAAATCTCAGTGGAACCTTCATATATATTTCTTCTTCCAAATCACCATGTAAAAAACATTCTTTACATCAAATTGTTGAAGCTGTCAATTGTAATTTGTAGCCAATGATAACAAAATCCTAACTGTATTCATCTTGGCAACTGGAGCAAAGGTTTCCTAATAATCCACTCCATAGGTTTGAGTATAGCCCTTAGCCACTAACATGGCTTTATGCGTTTTAACAGTATCATCCACCTTGTATTTTATAGTGAAAACCCATTTACACCCCACTAGATTTTTTCCTTTAGGCAACTCTACCAGTTCCCATGTCTTATTTTTCTCTAAGGCCTCAATTTCTATTACCATGGCTTGCCTCCATTTTTCACTGGATAATGCCTTGGATAATGTAGTTGAAACAGAAATAGCGTTTAGGCTCATAAGAAAATTTTTGTGGGATAGTGAGAATTTTTCAAATGACATAAAATTAGAGATTGGGTATAGTGGATGCTTGGTACATTCTCTAGTTTCTTTTCTAATGGCAATAGGTAGATCATAATCGCTAGTTATAATTTTAAGAGATTCATGCTCATTTTGAGAAACAGAGTAAAAAACTATAGTTACCTCATTTTCAAAGTTAGGATTAGGTTTTTGGACTGGCACTGGCTCAGGATCTGAAACTTTCCTTCTTGAGTACATTTGTAATTCCTTCATAGAATCAAGAATAATATTATCCTTTGTCACATTTTTTGTGTTTAAAATGGGTTCAGAATCAAATTTAGTGTTTGACTTTGGCTCGCAGAAACAAGTTTTGACTCAAAAGAATTAATGGGTGAAAATGTTGAAGAAGAGGACAAATCAAGCAAAAAGAAGTCTTTATCCTTATCTTCCATGAATAAAGCTCCCTTGAAGATAAGGTTGAGTAAAAAATGGTTTACTTTATTCAAAAGTAACATCTACAGACACATAAAAATTTTTTGGTAGAAGGATGATAGCACTTATACCCCTTTTTGACTTGATGAATACCCCACAAAGATACACTTAATTGCTTTTGGATCCAACTTTCCCTTATTATGACTGTGAATATGAACAAATGATGTACAATCAAATTTTCTAGGTGTAAGGTTGTTTGTGGTATTAAGGTTGGGATAGAATTGTGAGAGTATTCCATAAGAGTTTTAAATCCTAAAACCCTTAAAAGTAACCTATTTATAATGTGTGTGGTAGTGAGAATAGCTTCCCTTCAGTAAGATTTGGGTATATTTGCTTGAAAAAGGAAGGCTCGAGTTGTGGCTAGTAAATCGCTATTTTTTTTTCTGTCACTCCATTCTGCTATAGAGTATTAACACAAAATGACTCATGGATAATCTCTTCCTTTTGGAAATAGGTGGATAGATTCTGGTTGAAATAGTCTATTGCATTATCAGACCTAAATCTCTTGATTCTCACTCCAAATTGATTTTGAATGGTGTTTGAAAGCTTAAAAACACACTATTCACATTCGATTTGGATTTAAGTAAAAAAAACCCAAGAAACCCTGGTACAATTATCTATGAATGAAACAAATCATCTTGCACCAAAAATATTAGGAATTGTAGAAGGACCCCAAATATCACTATAAATCAAGTAAAATGGAGTAGAACTTTTTTTGTTACTATTGAAAAAGATACACGTCTGTGCTTTACAAGTTCACAAACATCACAATGAAAATCTTCGACGTTTAATCCATTGAAAAAAGAAGGAAACATGTTTTTCAAAGTTTTCAAAGAAGGATATCCAAGACGAAAATGATAAAGCCAGATTTTATCTTTATTAGAAAATTTTTCATAAAGAAATGACAAAGGTAAACTATTCTTGATATTATTTGTGTGGTGTCTCAAGATAGTATAGTCCATCATTTTCCTTAGCAAGTCCAATCCTCTTCCCCAAACTCTGATCCTAAAATTCACAATAAGAATGATAAAAAGTCATTTTGCAGTTCATATCTTTGATAAGTTTTTGAGTAGATGTTAGATTAGTAGACAATCTAAGAACATGAAAAACATTTTTAAGAACAAATGAGGGATTAATTTGAACATCTCCTAATCCTGTCATTGAAGTAAATGAACCATCTGCAACAACAATTTTCTTATTACTAGGATATAGGGTATATGTACTAAACTTCTGTGAGGAATGTGTCATACGGTCTGTGGCTCCTGAGTCAATAACCCAAGAACTCTATAGGCTTAATTGAGACATTTAATCCATGAGAACTAAAAGTTTTACTTGACTAGAGACCTTACCCAAGGAACATACCCTAATAGGCTTTTTAAGGGTTTTTAATAAGCTTCTCAGCTTCTCAATCTCTTCTCTGTCCAACTCTCATTGTTTTCGAGACATTTGTAGTAATCTGATGATTTTCACAATTGACACTTCCTCAAACTGAATATTGGTGATATCTTTCTTTAAACTGAAACAAGTCTTAAGATATAACTAGAAATGACTCTTAGCAATGAAGGCTAAAGATGGGAAAATGGCTATGAAGGTCTTAATAAGGTTCGGCAATAAAAGCCTAAAATAGAAGTCGGTAATGAAGGCTGAAAATTTTACTTTCCAAGAAAAGCCTAAAGCTTTGATACCATGTGAAAAAACTAAGAAATAAATCTGTGTGAAAAACTAAGAGTAAAAACTGAATGTATATTGAAAAACTGCTCATTAAGAATTATACAAGAACCTTAGGTTTATATACAACTAACTAGAGGTTAAACTAAGAAATTAAATCTTCCTAAAAACTAATCCTATAATTGAGCGATTGTCTATCCTAATTTTTTGTCCTTAACTCTAGGGATACAAATACTTAATTCTAGAGATATAAATATACATATTACAATATTACAACCAGTTATAAAATAAATGTTTTCCCACATGTCCATATAAGAGGCATTTTCAAACCCAATTTTTCAATAACTGGAATTTTTGCCCATAAATGTATTTGTCCTCTAGCCAAACAACAAATATATTTGTCCAATTAGGAATGCAAAAGTTTGGCATTGGACTCTTCTGGGATAGTATTACAATGGGGAAAAAAAGTTATTCAACATGATTGAATATCTAGCGGTATACATTAACTTGGAAATCCTTATAATTCATGGAGGCACCGAGATACCTCTAATATGATACACAGTTCAATGATCAGACATTGACCAAATTATTCAGTTCATAAATTATCTTTCCTATCATGGCTTCTTTGCACCTCCCAGCTGCAAATTCATAGCCTGAAATGCAGCAAGGGAGAAGTACCATCAACATCAAGGCCTCTTCCATTGGAGAATAGCACATAGTCCCTCACTGTGGTTTCCCTGTATTTTGGAGGATTCTCTTCTGATAACAATTCCTTAATAGGTCCATATAGCCTCGAGTCTGGCATTATATTAGTGCTGAAAAAACATGCCACTGATACTCTAGGTCCAACTGAATTTGCCAACACTCTATGCTCCACGCTTATAAATGTGTCATTTGATATAAGCTGAAAAAATAGGAAAAAAAGAAATTTGAAATTGGCCAAAACACGTATAACCCATTCAATAAAATGCAACATGTTCTCAGCAGTAAACAGAAACGTTCAAGAATAAAGGAATCATTCCAAGATGATCATCTAACTTATAAAATCACTCTAAAAAGAGATGAAAAAAGAAATTCATTGCAACCACTTCAGTTTCATTTATTTCATTCACTTAATTTGGTTTAGCCGATCCCTTTAGAGTATGAGAATTGAGAAGAATTATGGCTTATTTTCGTACGTTATGATCATACAGGATCAGTAGAATAACAATTTAAAGAATTGCCAGAAGAAATTGCAACTAAAAGATGAAACAACCTATTATTTACAATATTATGGAAACCCACACCCAATCTACTATGTCTGTTTTGATCTAAAAGTTTCATGATTTTATCCTAAAAAAATCTCTCAAGTATGGGTTAGATCTCTAGCTATATATTATAGCAGATCCTCTTGATATTCCAATATGAGTTTTGAGTGTTACAAACATAAAAACAGCAAAATTTAAAACTGAAGGGCTTACCTGTAAAAGATCTCCCACATTAATTACTAGAGCCCCAGGTGTGGGAGGTACATCAATCCACTTATCTTCATGAAGTACTTGGAGGCCACCAATATGATCTTGTAGAAGCACCGTGACAAAGCCATTATCTGCATGTTTACTTGTTCCCAGAGCCAATTCTGGCTGTGGACACGCGGGATAGTAATGGCATAGCATAGCAAGCCCCCTGCCACAATCCATGTCTTTCAGGTGGTCAGGTTTCAGCCCAAGTGCCTCAGAAAGTAACTCCAGCAGTAAATTACCCAAATTCTGCACTTGCTTTGAGTACTCCACCATTATATCCCTGCAAATGAATTAGGCATGTCAGTGATCATTTCTTCATCTCACTTGGTTTCACCTCTAAACTGTGAACTATTTGTATGTGAGCTAGTGTTTCTAAGGCATTATTGAATAATGTAAGAGAAGATGGAAAAAAGGCCATCTAAATAGGATTACGTATAAAACACCAGCGCAAATAAACCTATTTGGACCGGCTCAAAGAGGGATCTATTAAGCAAACCAAAAATCTCTTGCCGCTTGATAAGAAAAAAAAAAAAAGACTACATATATGGTCCATAAATTTATCGCATTGGTTAATGTTTAATATAGCAACCACTTGAAAGGTGAGTTACAATGTCATCCAATACCACAGATGCATAAGCCATACTTAAAATGGAAAAAGTGAATATAAGCAAACGAAAAATCTTAACATACCCATACCATTTGTAAACTGTATAATAAAACATACCTGCAAAGTGCTGGCAAGTCTTCCATCTTAGGAGGATTAGGAGCCATAAGGCTGAGAAATGTATCTCTCCAATTGACTGCTAAACCAGTATACAAATCAAAATTGCTATTATAGACCAGCGGTTTCGTATAATCACGAGTATAATATTGCTTTTTCACTTCAAGGTCTTGCTCATAAAACCTTCTTACACCATCCTTCATCTCTTCTAAAATACTTACCGGAATTCCATGATTGATCACTTGAAAAAATCCCCATTTCCTTGATGCCTTCCCAACTTTGTCCACCATATCCTTTCTAGTAATTGGATCTTTCTTCACTCCCTCAAGGTCTATAACAGGAATACTGAAGTGAGCATCACCTGAAACTGAGGTTTTCTGAATTTTATAAGGTGGTTGATGAAACACTCTAGGAACCTCTGTGATTCCAGCATCAACAAGGCCTTTCACTCCAGCTTTTGTGTCATCAAAAGCTTTTAGTTCACTTGTTCTATCATAATCAGGGTTTGATGTGTTGGATGGAGATCTATCTTCTTTTCGCTAATGAAAAGATTATTTTCCTTTTTAAAATTTTAAAGAGTTGACTAAAGAGGATTTTATGAATAATATCAATGTTATTATCTCTTCTGGGACCCATGGCCTTGAAAAATGATACAAAAATTGGCCAGAGTTTATGCCGCCTAACATTTAATGCCACTTGCCACTTGCCGCTTGCCACCAGTTTCCACCTCAAGCTCAACTCTGATGGACCATGTCCCCATTCCTTAATTTGAATGTCTATCCCTTGCTTGCTGAGTATGACGCTTGCCTTCAAATTTATGCCCCTTCTTGTCAACACATTTCCGGGACCAAAATTGAATGGCTTTGAGATGCGTAGGTGGTATTAAAAGGTGAAAATTGAGAGTGCAAATGATTATATCTCATTGTTCAATAACTAAATGATTGACAGATATTAATAAAATTCAGATTTTTTTTAATTATCTGATGCAGTTACTCATTTCTGTATCTCTCAAGATTATACTTTCAAGCTTTCCAGATTCCTGGAGCAATAGTTTCAATGGCCAAATCAGAAAGACACCAATTTCAACAATCAACAATATTTATGTTTATAGATAGGATATATAACCATCACTTCATAAGTTTATAGATCGGATATATAACCACCACTTCCATTTTCTAATTCTAGTTATACATGATCAAAAATATTACAGAGATGTGCCAAAGTATTCCATCACAAACTATTGATTATGCAAATGCTCCTTTTTGTCTTCACGGGGCTATTTCATAGCCTGAAATGTTGCGGGGCACAAGTTCCATCAAGACCTTTTCCATTGAAGTGGGTAAGATATTCTATCACAGTAGTTTCCCTGTATTTTGCTGGATTATCTTCTGATAACAACTCCTTGATAGGTCCATATAATCTTGAGTTTGGCTGAAAACTTGTTACGAAAAAGCATGCCACTGATACTCTGGGTCCTATACAATTCACCAGCACTCTATGCTCCACGCTTATAAGATTGTCATTTGATATAAGCCGAAAAAAACAAGCAAACATGAAATAAATCGATCACTCGCATAGTTATGAAGTTGATTGTTGAGTTTGTAATGCACTTTCCATACTAATTTCTAGTAACAGAAATCTATCAGGCTTGCCTGTAACGGATCTCCAATGTTAGCTACCAAAGCCCCAGGAGTTGGAGGTATATCAATCCACTGATTTTCATGAAAAACTTGGAGGCCACCAACATGGTCTTGTAGAAGCACCGTGAGGAAGTCACTGTTAGCATGCTTGCTACCATCTAGAGTCAATTCTGGCTGTGGGCATGCCGGATAGTAAATTCTCATAACATCTCGATGTAGTATTGGAGTATCACAAATTCCTCATTAAAGCTTGATATCCCTAACAAGCTCAACACAAAATATACATAGAACCAGAATCACATCAGATATTAGAATTCTAGATATGACTTTTATCATATAGTACTTGGCTCCCATCTGACTAATAACTGTTCTAATACCATTTGTTAGAAACCCGCATTAAACTTTGACTCGATGGTATCATGATTTTGTCTACAAAAAGTATCTCATAAGTATATTTTATAGTCTCAATATATATATCATAATAGATCCTCATAATCTCTTGATGTGGGATTAAGGTGTCACAAACTCCTCCTATTAAAAATTAATCTCCCTATCAAGCCTAACACATAACACACAGAACCATAGAATAAAGATCACATCAGACGTTGGGATTCTGAGGTGACTCCAATCATGTAGCACTTAGCTCACTTCAACTAGTGACCATTTTGATATCATTTGTGGAGACTCACATCCAATCTATTAGGTATTGTCTACATTGAAATGAAGGTATCACAAAAGGCACCTCACAAGTATAAGTATCAACTTATATATCATAGCAGATTTTCAAACATCTTAATGTGAGATTGATGTATCAAAAACTCCTCTGTTAAAACTTAAGATCCTTGTCAAGCCTAACCTAAAGCACACACAAAACTAGGATTACATTAGATGTTGGGATTCTAGAAGTGGCTCCTACCTGTAACACTTAGCTCCCTCGGTATTCTAAACATACCTCCCACTATGTGGCACTTAACTCCCTGTTCGACTAGTAACCTCTTTGATATCAATTGTGAAAATCCACACACCGAGGCACCTCATAAGTATGGATTTAAGTCTTAACTTATATATCTATAGATTCTTAAAATCTCATGCTATAGGATTAAGGTAAGTATGTAAATGAACTGAATATGAATGAACGAACGCATGTTTATTGTTTGTTCATTTATTTTTAGAGCTTCTTGGACTCAGTTCGTGTTCGATAAAAAAATTATTTATTTGTTAAAATTCGGTTCATTTAATCGGTAAAATGTTCGTATTCAGTTTTGTTCAGCTTGATTAAGTTAAACGAACTCGTTCGTGAACATTAAACGAACATGTTCATGCATATATATATATATATAAACATGTTCATAAATAATAAACAAACTATAACTAAACAAATTTAAACAAATTTAAACAAACAAACCTTAAATGAATATAAACAAACATAAATAACACCTAAAATAGGATTAGGTAAAAGATAAATATGTAATTTTGTTATTATATTTTTATTATTGAACAATAAATGAAGATAAATGAACTCTAATGAACCATAAATAAACAAGTTTTAAACAGTCCTAAAATGAGCTTATTTGCTAATATAAACAAACCAAACAAACTTATATCCATGTTTAATTTGTTTAATAAACTAACATAAAAATGTTGTTCAAAATCGTTTGTTAAGCTTAATATAAAAACCGAACATGTTCACATATGATTTGCCAAAAGCTCTATTGGCTTACACCCCTAGATTAGGGTGTCATACACTATCCATGTTACCTCTTCCTCCTTGTCTCCAGCAAGTCTACCAAAAATGTCACACACCACTACCCTAATTGCTCCTCTTTTAGTATTTTTACAAAATACTCCATCATAGTTTATTTTAACCCACCCCATTTTGGATCTTCACTTTTAACTTGTTTTTTTTTTTTTTTCCTATATCATTCATTCCAGAATCTTTCAAGCTCAAATTTGCAACCTCTCATATTGCACTCTTCAACTTTACAATGGTTCCAAATATGCATAGATTTTTTCTCCCAAAAGTTTCTTAAAATCTCCCTTTCCAAATATTCTAGCATGTAAGGGCCACTAACACATTTTCCTTCATTTGTATTTCATTTTAGGGAAAGATTTCCAATAACCATTTATCAAACCTCACAACACTATCCATTTTAATTCTTAACCCAGTGCAAGTTTTAAACAAGACACCTTTTATCTATTCACATAGTAAACAATGATGTTCCACTAATTCTTCTCTACCTTACAAATAGGATATAATGGATTATTAACCACTTTCTTCTTATACAAATTGTTGTAGGTAGCAATTGAATCAATACAAAGTCTTTAAATGAAATGCTTGATCTTACTTTAAATATTTAACCCTCAAATCTCCTTTCGCAGCTTGTGATCAATACAGTACAATGATGATGATGGATCATTCAAACACATTGGCTTCATTTTTTCTCTTACATTTATGTCTAGATTTTGTAATGTAGCCAAATAATGCAATCACTACCATCATGTTGATAAACTAAAATTTTTTATAAATCTAGTTTCCTATAGCTCTTTCATCCAATTTCTTTTCCTCCTTATTTATGTATTTCTTCATTTTTTTTAGAAAATAAGTATCAACTATGGCAACTGGCACTAATAGTTCCCTTTTAGATTCTAGAGTAATGATCCTATCATATTAGAATTGATTTTTTATCTTTAACTTACCAAGTAATTCTTTCCTTAAAAAGGTCCTTTCCATTCAACATGCTACTCTAGCCTTATAATGCATAAACACCCTTTTTTGCTTTCAATACTAAATTGTGTAGAAAGAAGAAACCCTAGACCACAAAGCAACAGGCTCTTGTAATAACCATTAACATTGATTTGCTAAAAGGGCTATATTAAATATCTCCATACCTTTAAATCTGATGCCATCAATTTCTTTTCTTGCTGTCAATACTTCACAACTTTTCCAATTTATCCTTCTTTCATCTTCTTCCTACCATCACCACTACTTTACCATAACTTTATTCATATCAACACACAATTTCTATGAAGTTTATAATAAGACATGCTATAGCTAAGAAGAACACAAGTTATTGTTTTCAAAAGAACCTGAAAGATTTAAACCACAATAAGAACACAAGAAAAAATAAAAAACCTAATGTGGTATTGCAACAAATTGCCTTTTATTTAACATAGGCTACATTTCATTCATTTATAAACTTCAAAATACAAAATATTGATTCAACAACTTCTAACTACTTCACAAATTTGTTTACCTAACAATTTGGTTCACCAAAAACTTATCTATCATGCTTTCTAAAGTCTGATAAAATAAAAGAAAATAAAATGGCAAAACAAATTACTACAGTAGAAATGCTATACTAAGTTGTTTCAATTGCCAACAATCCTTTCTAGCATTTCAGTTGGAAATGCCAATACTTTTTCTTAATGTTTCAAATCTTGACTTTCGTAAGGTTGTAATACCCCAGCCCAAATAATAATTGGGCTAGACTAATACTAAAGCCCATCAGTTTATTAAGACATTATTTAGTAAAAAAAAAAGGGGTGAAGTATTATATGAAAGAAAACCTAACTATCGTGAAATAGAAAAAAAAGATATGTTTTTTCCCTCAATCATTGGTCTCTTGAAAGAATAAAATGATATTATAGTTTTAGATGATAACAGACTAAATACCAAGTAACAAATTTTCTCATGTCTGTTACCTCAACTTTTTTTATATTCAAGATTGTAAAAATTGAAATTAAAAGTTCAACCAATTATTACTTGACTTCACATATAATAGATGTAAACTCAACTTTTGTTTTGTTAGACAATAGAGACCCTTCATTTGACTTATATTTTTCTTTCTCATTTTCCTCTCCTTTTATTTATTTGGTCAAATTATATTATCATTCCTTTACTTAGATTAAAAATTAAAATTTAATCATTTGACAATGGTTTCAATATTAGCATTATTTATACATTTTGAAATTTGAAATTTTAGAACAATCGTTAATAGTGTCTAATTTTTTTTGTTAAGCAAACTAACTTGGATATTAATTTGATGACATAACATTGATTTGTTGATGTAAAACTTTTTTTAATTTTAAAATGCCATATGGTATTTTTGGTCATGTGGCA